GCCCGGGAGGCATTTTGGGGATGAGGTGTGCTGCCCAAAGACACCATGTGATGTGCAGTGACTGGGGATCGAACCTGGGACTTTTGGGTCCCAAGCCGGCTGCCCTGCCTCTACACCATCTCGGCCCCCGCAGATAAATGAAAACGAGGTTGATAATTTTCATTTATCATGCGACTAATTGATTTATCGTTTATCGCGACAGGCCTAGCGTCAACCGTCCAATGTGCGACTTACTTTGGGGTAAATAATAACAAAAGCCAGCCAGCCAGCCAGGAGGAATGTGGAGAAGATGATGCTGGCCATGTCTTTGAGCATGGAGTCCACAGGGGCCTCTGGACGCAGTGTCCTACCCCCTGGTTCCTGGATAGACGTTCGGTCATCCATACCACTATCGTTGACCTTCTACAAAACAGCAAAGATAGGAACAACATAAATGACGGTAAGAAAGTTGATGTAAAAATTACACATGAGTATGACAAACCACGGACACAGACCTCCTCCACTTTCTTGTCAGTAGTTGGGGGGATGACGTTGCCTCCATTACGAGGGAGGCTGTCAGGGAACTTTTCCAGAATCTTGGTGTGAGCTTCAGGAGGCGTCTCATGATGACCTGAAAATTCAGAAAAAAATAAAACAAAACAAATGTTTTCAACTATCCAAACACATTTAATCATATTTTTAAAAAGGACATATTGTGAACTTTAACAAGTTTACACAAGTTATTCAGATAAAAATACTATACCGTATTTGTAGCATGGTTTCAATTAAAAAAATACTAAAAACACGTGAGCTTTAAAATAAACTATCAATAGCTCACACCACCACAAACCAATTACTTTAATTACATTTTTCATTTTATTCTCCTTTCTTGTTAGCATTCTTACTGTATCTTTGAAGCACGACTTTGTTAAGACTTTTGTCTTTAAAATACTTCAGTGAAGTTGCTAAAACACTACTTCCATCCATCCATCATGTTTTTGGTCTGTGGGAGGAAACTGGAGTACCCCAAGAAAACATGCACCCAGAAATGTCCCTGGATCGGGATTTGAACCAGAGTAACCTGCTTGCTGAGAGGCAGCAGCTCTACCAACTGCGCCACCGTGTTGCCCTACTTGCAAACATAAAACTTCTATTTCCTACTTCAGAAATACAGTGAAGGCAACACAATTTCCCATTAAAGTTGGGAAGATAAAAAGCTTGAGAGCTGAAATTTTGTACTTTGGCTACAGAGTGCGACACATTCCCCAACAACTCTGAACCACTCACTGAATGAGCAAACTGTGGTTCTGAGCTGGTAGTAACTTGAGACATTCAAAAACAGGCTATAAAGCTCAAATCTTTTCATGCTTTTTATAAGAAATTAAAGTTTTATAGTTATTAACAGTTTTTATAGAAAAAGCAAAAAATATGTAGTTGTATTTATCTTCCAGCAGAGGGCAGTCTAACTCCAACGCCTCACTGAAAGTTTCAAACTGCTTTAAGAGTGAAACCTCCAGGAGACCTCTTTGTAACTCAAGTCCATCTTCACGTCAGATCACTGCACAAAAGCACGAGGCTTTAGACTCTCCTCTTGCACAACAAAACGAGGCAAGACCCTAAACTGCCCTGTTTCTTGAACGGTCCAGTACCTATGAGGAGCAGGTAGTTTCTCATGAAGTTGATCCGGTTCCGCTCACGAAGCCCAGCATTGGGGTGCACCCTTGTGCTGGGTGTGATGACACACTCCTTGTCCTCTTCCGTCTCCTGGCTGTCAGGGCCTTCCAGGAGGGGGAACGTCCTGCCACGAGGCTACACAAAAATACACTACATGAGCTTACATAATGGAAGACTCAAAACTACTCTTCCAGGGAGTCAAGTCTTCATGGAGCCGTCACTAAAACCGGGACAAGCTCTCAGACACTGTTAGAACAAGATGTAGCATAAAAAAAAAAAAAAACAAAGACTCGTCAAAAAACTCAAATAAAAAAAATCTTAAAAAGTAGAAAATTATTGAAAATTTTGTGGCAAACATTCACATGCACAACAACAAACGTGTGTTATTATCTTCATGTAATAATTTCACACGCTGCTAAATTAAGCTACATTTGGAGAACATGCTCACCACAACAGTAACTCCATCGTGCACCAGAGAGGGAGATGCATACAGGCTTGTGGAGTATTTGCCCACATACAGGGTGGCCCTGGAACACAAAGTAAAGTTAAAAACAGTTACTTCATGGCAAACGCCATGCTGCATGCTAAACTGAGCAATGGACAGAAAAAATATTGTCAACTTTGATTAAAAAATAAATTAAAATGGTCTTTTTTTTGCAGTTTCGATAGCAGCAGCACCAGATGTAGAAGCAATGCTTAAAATAAGAACCGCAGAATGAAACCGGAGCTGAAACTAGATTTATTTTTTTTTTTTTGTAGCCACATAATCAAAGTCTACTCTTAGACGAAGTAAACCAACATAAAAAATACATTTGAATTTCACCCAGTTTTGGTTTCATTCTAGGGCTCCAACATGTTTAGAAACAATTCTGGCCTGGGTTTGTACTTTGAATTAGATCGAATACAACTCAAAATAAAAAAACTGAGCAAATGTGTGTGTTAATATCAGTAGCTGATTTGTTTTAAACAGAAATATACTGTTTGCTTTAGAAGAAGTATAAAAACAGTGATTACATGAATTTATTTGTGGGCTTTGTCTCCTTTGGAAATGGATACTTCCACTGAGTGATGCGTCCAGCCTCTCCGGACATGAAGGTGAGGTAACGCAGCGTTTCCACAGCAACGTTAGTGTGAGGAATTTTGCGGAGACCCTCCCGCTGCCAGATGTACATAGCCACCACCGGTGAGTTGTAGTTCTGGACCCACTGAACATCTCCAGTTTCACTGTCCACAGTCACAACCAGCCCATCCCCATTGGACACAAAGTGGGCCACTTCTGTAGAGGAGCAACAAGCAACAGCTGATGGACACCATGTTACCAAAACATGAAGCCACCGATGAGCCGGACTGTTGAGGAGCCTTACTGTATTTGGTGTCATCATCAGGAAGGGTGGAGGCGTAATCTGAATAGGTAGCGTTCCAGCGCAGCTCCCTGCTCTTTGTGTCGTACATGGTAATGGTGTACTCTAACAAGCACAAAAGGAGAAAACGTTAAATGGTTCTGTTCATGTAACCCAACACAAAAGACAGGATTTGAGTATGAATACAAGAATCTAATTAAATAGTGTTAAATTTCTGTTGTCGTAATGGAACGGAGAAAGAAAATCCAAGAGTTTTTTATCAAGTGAACACTGATTTTGTGATTCAGTTTTTACTCTTCTTCATTGTCTGCATAAAGTTACAGATACCACGCTCCTTCAGTCATCATAGGGAGTTGGATTTGTTGCAACGACGTAGGAGATTAGATGAATTAGCATTACAGATTAACAGAAGCAGGAGTTAAAACTTAACGCACTGGTCATCCAGATGAAATCAGATACCGTATTTTCCGCCGTACACATTGCGCCTCCGTATAAGTTGCATCGGTCCAAATATGTTTAATGAAGTGGAAAATTAAATAAATAAGTCGCTTCGCCATATAAGTCGCATCTATTGGGCGTCACCACTGACAACCCGTAAATGTGGGTCGGTGTGCCAAAAAATTGATTGGCTGCCACGGGAGCGTGCACGGGAGGACTTTAACAAGGATTAACAAGATTAACACTTAAAAACAATTATTTGTTTGCTCAACATTATAGTAAAGGTGTCTTGAACTTTTCCTTAATAAATGCATTTTAATGGTCAAATCAGCTGCATTTCACCACCCAGGCGAAATGCAGCTGATTTGACGTTTGCTATAGGAGTTCCGGAGCAAGACGAAGGTGGCCTCTACGGCAAGCCAAGTGTCTCATTAATAGCCACTTTTACCTATTAATGAGACACTTGGCTTGCCACACATGTTGAGGACCCTCTAGTGGCTGAAAATGGTAGTGTTCAATATTTTCCATGTCAGAATGAATGAAATCGTCAGATCTCAGCCAAAAATTTAGTTATAAACATGGGAAAAGAATGTATATTAGTCACTTTGGCATATAATTTGCAGGGTATGCAAATTAGGTTAAAAAAGGTGTGACTTATACGCCGGGAAATATGGTAGTTAAAGAAGATGGACTCTAGTGACCAGAAAAAAACAAGAAAAAACCTTGTTTAGAAAAAGAGCAGTGCTTGTTTTGTTTTACCCGTGCGTCCCAGATAGAGAAGGGATGAAGACGGACAAAACATCTCAGCGAAGGAGGAAGTCAGAGTCTGCTGCTTTTCACCCGTCAGCAGATCCACCACATACCACAAGTCCTGCTTTTTACCTGCACAGGAGCACACACAGGAAACGGCTTATACTACAGCAATTAGTTTCGCTTTGAATAAAAGTACCAATAATCATCAGATTCTACTGATTTCTCATCTGCTTTCATACGGTTATCCTGTAGATGTGACACGTTAATGCACATTATAGACTTTCTTTACATGTAACCATACAGTTTAACTTCCTGTTTTAAATGAGTTTGTGGAGAACGGTCAAAATGATTGAGAGAGGTCTTTTATGCAGCCTAATTATACAAAATAATATCAATTATAATAATAATATCATTAGGTTTAATCACTGCATTTTGAAAATGTCTGTTGCTTCTTTCCATTCATCACTTATGTACGGCGTTCTTTGCACCTGCACAGTTTGGGAATAATCTCTCACTCAGAGGCTGTTATGGATAAATACCAACACCAGAAATAAACAGAAAGTTTTCAGATAAAATCTACATCTGCATAACAAGAAATTCTTAAAAGAAAACATTTTAGGAATGATAATTCCAGCCCTTGAGCCCAGTGTGCTTCTGCTGACAGAAGCTTCAGTTGAGTGAGGACTTCACTGATAATGACGGCAGGTAGGGAAATCTAACCCTCCTGCTCAAACAAACGGTAGATTATCTTTCCTGCGGTCACGGTTTTAAAGTCAAAACAGCTGAGGCTGCAACGGCAGGTTTAGTGGAGGGAAGGCAAAGCATCATATTCTGCTGAAGACAGAACACCTGCTCCTTTAGAGAAGGCGATGAACATGGGCAGGACCTGCACGCGTCCAAGTCTTACCCATGTAAAGAATCCCGTCAGAGCTGCGACACGGAGAGGCTTGGACCAACTCGGGGATGGTGAACGGCAATTTCTGTTAAAACAAAACGACCATAAAATTGAGTACGCCAACAAAAGGAACACTTTGAATACACCAAAAATGCAACTTCAAGAGGATGCACAACTATTTTTCTGCAGAACAAGGAACTGAGAAGTGTTTCTTACAAAAGAGTGACAATTCTAATTTATGATAAAAAAAAACGATTTCCTCTTACTGTGAGGCCTTCACTGTTTTTACCCCCCAGAGAGTACAGGCTGCCATCATTAGGGTCTGGCAAAAACGCTGGCCTGGTGGGACAAAAAGGGGACAAACGGATACTCAAAACTTCAAATATCAAATTACGTAAGACGGTCGTTTAAAAGACGGTAAGAAGAGACCGACACGTAAACGTAATCACCGTCCGTTATTTACAGGTCTTATATAACATACGCATGTGCATCTCCACAAATAAATAAAATAAACTGATACGTACTCTGATACATGTGTGGGAACCTGAAGAACTGGATCTGTGAGAAGAGCAAAGAAGACAAGAAGCTAGTCAGCACCGACAAGAATCTCATCAAACAATGAAGAGAGAGACGGCCAGTGGCGGTGAAGTCAAAACTCCGAGGCTGCCGACGTTCGGCTGCCAAGGACTCAAAGTCCAAATGAACGTGGGCTTTTCTGCAGCAAACATGACAAGTTCTGTAGTTTAGTTATTTGCTAACGGTTTTCTGTGAGTAAATCCAGCAAGAGGACAGATTATAATCATTAAAATAATGCTTTCCCAAAACAAACTTTACATTTGTTGGATGAAAGTTTACGACAGATTTTTGTACCTTTTCACATCTGTTAGCAAACCATCCATTACAGCCAAAACACGAACCCTCTGCTGCTACAAGACAAACACTTCCCACAGGTGTGAACAAACTGGGTGTGGACCAGGTGGGGCTGATCTCTGTGGTGGTGCCCAAAGGGGTCAACAATGACGGGGGTTAGGTGTAGAATAATCCAAAAGGCGGTAGATGACTGTATTCAACAAGCTTTAGTTTCCAGCCATCGTAATTGGAGACGGTGTCGAGAAAACAATGTTTTGACGCTGCACGTAAACCCGAGCGGCTGAAACATAAATACATGTTTGCAAAACCAACGAGGTGAGACAAGTAAACAGTAATACGACGCGTTTGTGATTAAACTGCACCATCTGCAACTGAACTGGAAAAGACTTCTGCTTCGTTGTTGTGAAGTAGGTGCGTGGTTGACCGAGCGAAGCACAACAGGTGTGACTGAAGCCTGGGACAGAACCAGTCAAATTCATATTCAGTAGCTGTTCCAGGGAAGCGGCTGATGCGGAGGAGACGGCCTCTGCCTCACACTCAGCGACGTGGTTTCTTGAATGAACCCGAGCAGAACTTTGCGAGCTGAAATCAACAAACGGGTGTCTTTAAAGTTTCGTGTCCAGGTTTAAAAAGCACCCCATGAACGTCTTGTCTAAACGGTTCTTTCCCACGTTTAGCTTATCTAATGTTATCCTCAAGCGTGCGGAGCATTAACGCGGTCTGCACAGTACGTGCTGCACGTGTGCAGGTGACACTACAGCAAACCTGTTGATCCTGACCAACCGACCTTGATTGGAGGCTATATTTGCCCCGCTCGGTTAATATTTATCCAGTTTTCATGCCTAAGAAAACGTTGTTGAGGGGCATCTTTAAGAATCGTCCAAATGCGAGATTCCATCACAGACAACTCAAAATGAACTTTGATTTCATGCGAGATGACACTCTGGGAGAACTGATATTGTAATGTCAAGTGGAAACTTGTGCGTCACGACGTTTGTCTTCATGATGTGGCCTACAAGAACAAAATCCCACTGCAAATAAATAAATAAGCAAAACACCCCAAAACTATAGAACCTTACAGTTTTGTGAATAAAAAAAAATAAAAAATAAAAAAAAGGACAAAGAGTATACAGACACTTCTACTGGACTGTAGTCCTCTCCACTTACCTTCTTTCAGAGTCCATTTGATGGAGCCTGACTTCTTGCTGACTGCGTGCAAGTTTCCATCCAAGGTCGACACAAACAGCAAGTTCTCAGGAAGGGAAACTGTGCTGGCACTGCAAAGCCCCTACACAAACAACACGCACACAGTTAATAAACATACACATAAAATGCTCATGAATTTTAGTTTTAACTATAAAAACTTTGACGGCATGTCTCAATTTTTTTAGCTGGCAGACGAGTTCATGCACGCATCCGGCCATTTAAATTAGCAGGCTCCGTCAGAACACGTGCGCCTGCATTAAGGCAGAGAATAATGATTAATCACTAATCAGTGTGGCAATGCAGATCCTTAAACACACACCAAACACCAAAGTGTTGAAATCACTCCTCTAAAGATGTCGGGCAGAAGTTTTTGTGTGATGAAGAAAGTGCTGTTTTCATCATCACCGCTGAGAGTTGGATTGTGACTCGCTGGTAAGAATTCATGCAGCTTCACACACGAAGCACTCAAATTAATAAAAATACTAAAAGTCCACCAAGACAACATATCTATCATGAATTCACAAACAAAGAACGCATTTAACGTTGCTATCTTCACCATTTTCTGCGAAGCCACAGCAGTTTTGATCAAAGCCGTGGACCCAAAACCAGAGGTGGACACGGTTTCCCCAAAAGGGCCACATCAAGACGTTTAACGCCATCAAAGGGCCACAAAGAGAATTGGAAAATTAAATTTTCTTTACGACAGATAATCTAGAAGAGCTTTTTCAGGCTTTTTCTTACTGTAGCAAAGTTATCATGCTTTATAAAACATGTCTTCCCAATATCAAATACATAAGACAATATTCTGTAAACTAGCTTAACATGTTATACACGTTAGCAGAAATATGCTAAACAAACTTGTATTTTTGTGATCCCAAGTCTTTAAACTTCAGGCTAGTTCTGCAAACAAAGATAAACTTTTTTTTTTTTTTTTTTAAGTTTTACGTTGTTTAAATTTCCTCAAGTCTTGCTGATAAATTGATGGTTTTTAATCAATCTTTATTTAAAAAGTTGTGTGTGTTTTTTGAAACTAAGGATACTGGGGGGCCTGATGGAGATTGTCAAAGGGCCGTTTTTGGCCCTCAGGCCTCAAGTTGCCCACATCTACCCTAAACACATCCCAGTGTCCCACACCTATAAAGCTGCTCTTCCACTGAAAAACACCAACACACTCTTGAGCATTAAGCCCCATTTGAGATTATGCAAATAAAATGTTTCAAGGACGCTCCTAAACTTGAACAAAAATAATAAATACAAACATTAAAGACGCTGCTTTGTTTCAGGGATGGAAGAAATGCAGCCAACTGACAGTGTCCCCCTTCTGGTCAGAGAAATTGTATACCCCCCCCCCCCCCCCACCCCAAAAAAAAAAAAAAAAAAAAAACTGGTGTCATCAAAAGTTAGGACTAGAATGTCAAAATGTGACTGCAGCATTAAAAGACAGTATAATGAGCTAATGGTCTTATGCAGGTGGAGCTGTGCTTTCGATTTGTGCTTCAAGTATTCATTATGCCACTGTGCAGGATTTATAATACACACTCCGTGTTGGCGACTTTAGGATAAAGATGACAACAGAACATACTGGTAGAGTAGGAGTTGCACTCCCATTATCCAGTATTTCTTGAAAAGTTGCTTGGTTTTTTCAAACGGATTCTGCTGAGGACAATGTGAGGAGTGCTTCCTCTACACAGATGATAACTGGGTTGAAAGGACCAAATGAGCACTCTTCTGTTTTCCATTGGCCAGTCTCACCATGACGGCTTGCCTCGGGTCTACACGGTTTAGGTGGTTTTCAAAACAACTTGGGCGCAGCCTCGATGTGGCGAGGGTGCCCAAAACTTCCGGGACGTTATTTACTCGGATACGACGGGAGCAAGTACCGACGTGAAAACACGTGCCGCGCATTGAGCCTAAACGTGACAAGTTAAGCAACCAATATGCAAGAATGCAACAATGCGACATATGAAAAATTAAAATGGGAGCTCTCCAAGGAAAACAACAACGGCAGCAACAATGCAATCCAACCTCGAGCCTTGGTTCGTGTCAGACAGAAATGTGCTCCATTCGCCCCCTGAAGGAATTCTAAAAACTCTTCAACCACAGACATGAAAAGGTCAAGTGAGAGCTTTGCTCATCAACCTGCTCAAACAAGTACAAACTGAACAAATGTATGTTTTCTGAACAGTTTGTCATATTTAAGAAGCTACAAGTACTAATTATATGTCTAGCATTCCTTAAAGGAATGTATATCGCCCACTGCCTGCTACTGCACAAACTTTAGCTCATCGCCTGTAAACTGACGGAGTTAGTCACTTTCATGCTGGCTCATGTCAATAAGCTGTGGTGGCCATCTTGAATGGGGCTGAATATAAACACTATTGAAATATTTTGATAACAAACAAGGTTGACACCAAAGATAAGTCCAGATAGGAATACATATTGCACAATGTGTTGTGCATGGAGTGCGTTTGGAATAAGCCTCAGCTGTTAGCACAATATTTGTATAATGAGCTGATTTATATCAATTTGTGTGTATTTTGTGCCAATTGGCTGTGATGACCATCTTGAATTGGGTTACCGTATCTCCAAAAGGTTTATTAGTTGTAGATGTACACCTAGTAATTTTTTTGGAAATGTCCACCTTCAGTTTCACTGCTTGCGTTTCTCCCTTCATAAAAAGGTTCAGTGACCCGTTTCAAGCACAGCAGAATGATATTTCTATAAATTCACACTCTTTCTTTCAGTTATTCTTCTTGACGTATGGAAATTTTTAGCTCATCTCTGCCATCTAAACAGAAACCAAGGCAAAACAACCAAACGTTTCACTCTGCTGCAGACAGAAACACCATCCTTCTACTAAACATCCCTCCTGCAGCCTCGCACATCCTATGCAGGCATTTGTCAATAATCGTGCACCTGTGAATGTTCTCACTGGCCTCTCCAGACTTACAAGCACCGCCCAAATGTGCTGGGAAAAAAAAAAAAAAAAATCATAATTTATCTGCTTTTGAGCCCCTCAAAACCTCTAGCTGGGTTCTTGGGTTTCACAAACAAATTACTTTTCAGACATCTGTTAGCCTCGTGGGTTTGCATGGACACTGACGTTCAACAAGTGATGAATATGCCGAAGAGTTCACCGGTGTTGCATCGTGTCGCCGCTCAGTTTTTTTTTTGCGATTTTAACTGAGTGAGTTTAACTGAGGTAAAGACTAATAATACATCCGCTCCCATTTCTTCATTCTGAGCGTGACAAAATATGCTATTGCATTACAGAGTTGCGTAACACATAAACTAAAACATTCAGCTTGCTCCGTGATCTTAATTTTCTCTTTTGCAATGAGGTCGGATGTGGATGAAAGGGACGCAGACTTTGATGCTCTTATCAGCAGTCAGTCCAGTGTCACTGTGCCTTGAAAGCCTAATACTGAGCACAGGACGGCTTGTTGGCAGCGTTCTGTCACATTTAAACAAACGCTTCAAAGAATTTGTGCACCATGCCTCTTTTTTCTGTTTGTGAAGCATCCATCCATTATCTTTTACAGGCTTCTTTCTTTTCAGGTCACAGGGGTCACTGGTGCCTATATCCAGCAGTCACAGTGTGAGAGGCAGGGGACACCCTGGACAGGTCTCCAGTCCATCACAAGGACACATAGAGACTAACAACCATTCACTCTGTCACTCACACCTAGGGACAATTTAGAGTTACCAATCAGTCTAACATGCATGTTTTTGGTCTGTGGGAGGAAACTGGAGTACCTGGACACACATGCACGGAGAGAACATGCAAACTCCACCCAGAAAGTCCACCAGCCAGGATTTGATCCGGTGACCATCTCGCTTAAAAGGTGGCAGCTCTACAAACTGCGCCACCGTGCCGCCCGTTTTTGAAGCAATACATCATAAACCAAACGAGTGACGGGGTAAAAACCAAACTACACACACACACTTATCTTCTTCCTTTTTCTACGAAACAACCGGACCCGCCACGACAGAGAGAACTGTGGCAACACGAGCAGAGATGGTGGCTGAGTTATTTAAAGAGTTGTAAAAACTGTATCAGCTCTTTCAGGACAGACTGAGGCAAAAACAAAATGTTTGGGTGTTTTAAAACTCAACTCTGCAATTCTTTCCTAATCCTGCTGTCACTTTGCAACAATAAGCAGTCATTCTGCAGCTTGCCTGAGTGCAGACAAAAACCAACACAGGAACCTAGAAAAAAAAAAAATGACATCTTCTATTTGTCATGGGAAGTGTGCTGCAGCAAATTCACCCTCTTAGAAATGTAAAATAAAGCCTTTCTGAAAGCCCTTGTTAGTTGTCTTTAGGCATTTTCCCTCGTGAGCTGCACAATTACAACTATGACAGTCGAACACGTAAAGAAAGTCACTAACAAATGCATTCTGAAGAGCTTTAAAGTCATAAAACATTTGCAAAGTTCTCTGTGCATGGTGTTGCTTCAGAGGACGCCATGTGTTGGTCCACAACACTAGCAGTGAGGGCACTGACACACATAATAATCTACAGTTAGCTTAGCATTTGTCACCCTCACTACACCCACAGACTAATCTGCCAACAGAGGAACCTGAGACCATAAAATTAAAAGTTGGCATGGTAGTAGCCGAGCATCATCCCCAACAATTACTTCAAGGGCTAACAAATCATGCTATCTCAGAGTATACACCAGGCCGTGGGCAATATGCATTCCTTCAAGGAATCTAGGCTTTTAATCGAAGTAAAAACAGTAAATGCCACAATTTAAAAAAAAATCAAATTAAATGCAGAGCACGGATAGTGTGTGTTCTGCTAAACTAGTGCAGCAAAATGCTTACATTCAGATTTATGGATGAGATATAATAGTAAGTATCATGCCTTTGAGTTCAGCCTCTGAATGGACAGAAAAATCACTATTTCATTGTTCTTGTTTTACCAACATCAGTAAGATTTCTCATGTATGAAGCAACAGGTCATCCTGCAGCGTGGAGGCCTCTGCAACATGTGTGGGTGAAAAGCACAAACATTTCTTGGTACTGCTGATGCAGAAGTGCCCGACAAACACAACTCAAAACACCACACAGACCGTGTAACATAAACACGAGTAAACTGTGAGACTAAATGATGTGACCCTGCAGACTGGGTGACCACATGAAGCAAATGATCAAATGTGCACACGAGTTTTCAGAGCTGCCATTTGAGCCACAAATAAAAGATACAAACGCTTACAGTGCATGTCAAACTCTTGATAAGGCATTATTATCAAAAGCTGTGACCTTCCTTTGCCATCTTTTAAGCATTCAGAGGTCATTTACAATCTTTGGCTGACAAGAAGCGAAAATGTGTGACTCCTTGACATTTTGCTGTTGGATTTTTAGCTATCATTAATTGGAAGATAAGAAAGATCAACTGAAAAAAAAAAATATACAGGAATTTTACAAAAGTTGGATGTTATGCTCTAAATTCATACGTTTTTATCAGTAACGAAACTAAAAAAGTGACAAATAAATTGATATGTTTACTTTGAGGTCGCAGCAGAGCCCCTAAATGACTGTTAGCAGCTAGCTAACAGCTGCTATGTCAACACGTTCACACGGGCTCTCAGCTTCACCAAATTAAAGACAAATGTTGTTATTTTGTGACTAAACCCAGAAGAAGCATCCAAACTTAAGCTAATCGTGTATTTACCGTAACCTATCGTTATCTAAGCTTGTTTATCCAGTTAGCTTCTTACCGCTTGTTGGTGTCCAGCGTAGCAAAGCAGCGCTAAAACGCAGCACACCAGAACCGGATTGCTCACTCGCCAGTCCATTTTCTCTGGTCTCGAACCGGATTAGACGACTGGTCAGTCCGGACGATTTGGTGGCTACATAGAAAAAAGTTTTGGCTGACCAGAAAGAGAGGTTTGGGACTGTTTCTTCTGCGTTGAAACGTTTGAGGCAGGAGAGGTGGACAGAGTTTGTAGTGCCTCTTCCTGAAATTAATACTGCGGGGGTTGGACTTTGGGATTGAAATCCACAGTGGTGGAGGAGGGGTAAAGTAGGGCAGAACGTTGTAGCATATAATAAAAACATACACATGTAATTGTACTGATCTGATATTGAACCTATTTGAATTAAAGCCCAATTCCACCATTGAGGGGGAAAAATAATTCTCTCAAGATTATGATTTCTGCTTTATCATAATAATGATGTATTATTTCAGAATTATGTTTTAATGTATCATTATGTCTTATCATCTTATAAGTATCAGATACTATCTCAAACTTCCATCCATTCATCTATTATCTTAACCCACTTCTTCAATTTCGGGGGCGGGGAGGTTTCCAGTCCATCAAAGGGACACATAGAGACAAACGAGACAAACAACCATTCACTATCTCACTCACACCTAGGGACAATTTAGAGTTACCAATCAGCCTAACATGCATGTTTTTGGTCTGTGGGGGAAAACCCTAGTACCTGGAGAAATACTACGCATGCACGAAGAGTACATGCAAACTCCACCCAGAAAGGTCCCCGGCCAGGATTAGAACCGACGACCTCACTGAGAGGCCACAGCTCTACCGACTGCGCCACCGGGCCGCTATCTCAAAATTATGACGCAAAATTATTAGATATTATTCCATAATGATGATTTATTCCCTCCTAATTAGGGAAGGAAAGTCTGAGATTGTCATCATTGTACGTTCCCATATAATGGCAAAATTGGTTATTTGCATTTAACCCATCACACCTGAGATACATCCAGGTGGAGCAGTGGGCAGTTATGTTAGCACCCGGGAAGCAGTTAGGGATTGGGTGTCTTGCTTATAGACACCACGACATGTGGGCATGACTGGGAGTCGAGCCTGAGACTTTCTGGTCCCAGGTCAGCTGTCCTACCTCTATCCCATCTCGACCCAATTAGTAGAGAGTCTCAAAATTATGACTTAACATTTCATATTATGACTGAGCATCACAAAATTAAGATTTAGTAAATTGTAATTATAATATAGTATCACAAACATGACTTAGTATTTTTAAATTATGACTTAACTGTGACTTAGCTTCACAAATTATCACGTTGCATTTTGTTGGTACGATTTGGCATCACTAAATAATCAATTAACATCGTGTTATTATAATGTAGCAGCAGAAAACTGTTACTGAGCATCCTATTATTACAACTAAGCATCACAAAATCAAGACAGCCCTTTGTTATGATTTAGCATCACAAAATTGTTATTTAACGTATCATAAATATGACTTAGAATCACAAAGTTAGGACTAATTATCTCATATTTACGACTTAGCATAAAAAAAATTCGATGATAAATTATATTTTTGTACACGGTAGAACTGATTATAGATCTAAGCTTTGAAATTCTTGTCCCTCTAATATATGATAAACTGGCTTGCTATAAAACGATGATTCTCTGGACCAATGAGCGCAGACCTGATGACACCGGATGTGATATAAAATAATCGACTTTTACATCCGGGAGACATTTTCTACGAGCTCTGCAGATGGGAACCAGCGAGGCCTTTAGCGTTATGCATAATTATTTAAAAATATTTATATAGATATATTTATTATGTTTAGATTTTCTGTGCATGAAGTTGTTTATATACATAGTGACTTTACGTGACGTCAGAGTGCGATAAATTTGTATTTGCGCACTTCCTAACCCGCACGTGGCCCCATCGTGGCCACGAGGCATGGAGGTAAGGTTTTTCAAAGTAATGTGCAGGTTAAATCAGTGGCTTGTGGTAAAACTAGTAAATGTTTGCGCAGTGAGTGATGAATTTTAGTGCGTTAGACTTCTGATGTGAAAATGAAGTCAACATATTAATTCTGACGTAAATCGACAACAATGTTTGTAAAAAATATATATTTTGCAACGTTGAACTAATTAACTTCCTGTTCATGCAGGAGCTGAACCTGGATGGAGCTCTTAATATTACAGTAAGTATCTGGAATAGCTAGGAAACTTTTTTTACTCTTTAAATTATCACTTGATAAACCCTTTGAGTCGACCTGCTTCATAAATATTGTTTAATTGAACTTAATTTAATTTTCCTTTTTTTTTCCTTTTCATGTCAGGTGGAGAACCTCAAACCATTGACCAGACTTCAATAAACAAAATTTCCCTTCCAAGTTTTTGCTTTGAACAAATGTTAATTTGATAATAAAGCCTTTCAATCTACTTTTGGCTGTTTTCTTTCTTTTTTTTTTTTTTTTTTAAACTAACTTGTTTAATGCACTTTCTGAAGTGGAGTGGCATTTTCCTCTTGCCATTTACACAGATCAAGTTAGTGCAAGATCACATCTGTCTTGTCATAACTGGGGTTTCTTAGTCGTTTCCTAAGTTTCCTTTTTAAAGCAAGACACATCTGTTTATACAGTCTGCAAAGTCTGTACAATATAGGAATTTACGTTTTATTAAATTTAGTCTAATGTCCAGCTTGATGTGTACAGCTGCAACAATCAGAATTTTACTGCGGGTAAATTGATAAACGCGCGTTCACAAGCCTAATCAAGTTTGATTGGTAAGACTAGGCCCCTGGTTGATTTTATACTCTTGTCTACAAAACTTGGACTCTGACCAAAACTGGTTTTGATAAGTTTTTTTTTTTTTTTTTGGGGGGGGGGGGGGGACTAGGATCTGAATAAGGCAGCCTGAGGAGTTTCATGCATGAGCTATTAGATTGATGAATTCGTGACTGCAGTAGCAAAAAGACGCACCTCAGTAACAGAATAAAGCATTCCCCAAAATAACCAGTAGCTATATGGGAATTCACTAAGGTATGTATGTGTATATACATGTATGTCTACATGATTTAAATTTTGCATGCATCTCAAACCACTGGACAGATTTTATAGAAATTCAATTACTGGATGTATAACTACAACTAATTAACTTTTGGTGTCAAGCCACTTCAATATGGCTGCCACAGTTAACACAAAAATGACTAAAATCTTATTTTCACATGAAGCAGAAATGTGCAGTAGTCCCCAACTCGTATTTCAAGTACTAATTTACTTTTGAGATCTCACAATATCACATTAAACTATACGTAATGTGATTTATGACCAAAATGGTTATAACCAAGGGTGTGCATAACTTTTTAGTGGGCTCCTCGGGTGAGTCCCAGGAGATGGTGTTCGGTACTCACCCCATATGCAGCTTTGTCTTAAATGCCACCTTCCTCACTGTTGTGTCACTCCCACTGTTCTCTTGGCTTCGTTTGGCGCTTCTTTGTAGGTGGCGAAACACCAAAGAACCTGCTTAAGGTCTTGTTTCTTGGACATTTCCAGCAGTAGGTGTGTATAATGGTGGGGTTGATAACTTGATGGTCAAGTCTGCTAAGGCGTGTGGTAACACGGGTGATGCTATTCCTGTTTTTTGTTCATGTGTATCAGTGCACCTCTGATTATACCGTACCATTTTATTTATAGAGCACTTAAAACGGCGACAAGGCCAACCAAAGTGCTGTACAAATAGAAAAACAGGCAAGATACAAAAAGTTAAATCAATATAGACAAAAATACGTCACAGATAATATAACGACTAACCTGTGTGGAGCATACAGGTTCAAAACACGAATCATCTGGTGTTGAAAGCTATGGATTAGTAGTGGGTTTTTAAATGGGATTTAGAAACAGAGAGGGAGGGGGCCTGTCTTGACAAGTAGAGGTAACTCGTTCCAAAGTCTTGGTCCTGTCACCTCTGCACTTAAGATGAGTTCCTGGAACTGTGAGGAGCAACTGGTCCTCAGAGAACTTAAGTCATTCCTCAACATAAGCTAATAACTAATCAACAATGAGGAAATTTTTTATTTTTTTGCTAATTCTTTTACTTATTTAGCTGAAACTTCTCAGAGCCCAACTTTAAAAACAATTGGAGACATTTTTGACCGTTTGACAAAACTTTTTCTCAACTCTTAATGCCAAACGTGAAACCATATGCAGAAATATCTGGTGTTCAAAGCCTAAAAGTAATGAGTTATGATGGCGGTGTGCAAAAGAAAAAGATCTCATTTATTTTAGGTTACAACCACAAAGTTTCAATTTTTTTCCCCAAGCAAGTGGTTTTATTAACCCACAATAAACAGAACAATAACATCCTGCAATTTTACTGAACAGAACAGCAATTTCAGATATTTTCATCACTAAATGAAAGAAATGCTCAAATCAAAAGGGCATGTCTTAACAGACGGACAGTAATGGCACACAAACGTTTCCCTAATCAAGAAATGAGGTGACTCATGAAGGAATGTTTGATTATTTAAAGGCACTTTCTGCCTCGAACACAAACCAACACATCGGAACATAAATGTTATAAAGTCACCTCTGAAGCCGACCGGTGGCGTTGCTTTTAACTCGTACAACACTGAACAGCAAATCAACTCATTCAACAAAACGGCACCGGTTAGCTGACAAATAAATATGGCTAATATCCAGAAAATTGTTTCAAAACACCGTTTTGTAAATTCTAAATGTCAAGGTTTTCCGTCTCTTCCTGCATCTTCTGCGATTATTAAAATTATTGTACATCACAGGAGAGCAGCAGGTCTTTTTATTTACCAGATTAATTTATTCGTCCCGTACATTACTTCTGGCAACAAAGAATTAAAAAAAAAAAAGCTAAACTCTGAACATGAAATAAGCTGCTTCGAAGCGTGTCAGAGACTGAGCTGGCATACATTCAAGAAACGTTACTAAGATGCTGTGTTTGCAGAGATTTTTTTTTTTTAAATGCTGAATTACTCCACGATCAATTTTAGCACGATTCACTAACACACACCCTGAAGAGTCCACGGTGTGTTTTAATGCCGTGCCGGGCAAATAAAAGGCGGTATGACATGAATGTGGGGTACAGGAATAGTTTTCTGCTTTTCTTTTAAGTGGTATTCTTTAGAGTTGTTAGCTACTAGCGGTTTCAGCTGCTACCACACCTAATTTTATCTAAATGTCTGCAAAAATTGACGAGTTGTAACTGTTTTGCGTTGGCTAACGGTGCTGTTGCAGCCGTTTGAATTACGTAGACTCTAAAAGTGAATCCTTTTCTGAGAGTTTTGTTCAAATCTATATGGTTCATGAGATGCTATGCTATAAAAACATTGTCTATGGTTGAAAGTACCATACAAAGGATGTTAAAAACTTTTATACCGCACGGCTGGTAAGAAAACGAACATCCGTGAGAAATAAATCCCAAAACAAACTGACAATAAAATGCATAAAACCAAAAAAAATTAGAGCAGTTAAAAGTGAAATACAAAACAATAAATAAATAAAAGTTTATTCTTAGTGCCATGCGAGTCCTTGGAGGCAAAAAACCTAAAAAGGTAATGATCTGTTCCCTCAGCTTAGTTAGACGTATAGTATGCAGATTGTTTTTGTAAAGGTGGGATTAGTTTGGATGAGGAAATGGATCATCCACAGGGTCCAACCTTCCACTATACAGCTCATCATCACAGTATTAACAGTAAAACCCTTTTATTAACAGTAAAACCCCTTCAGACAGTCCAGAATTAAACATGCAGCCTCTGGTAATCCAAGTTGAACAGGATGGAAAGAAACACATTTAGTTTGGGAGAAGTTTTCATCCTTGTGCCAATTTATTGACAGTTCCAACCAACTCGAACCGTACAAGACTTGCTTTAATCAAAATTAGATCCTATTGTTATTGTCATTAATTAAGCTTAACAGTTTAGTTTTATTTAAAAATGAACCCATTGGTGGGCCGAACTGAGCTCACCTGTGGACCACCAGTTAAGGAGCCCGGCTCTATTGTATCGTTTTACGTCTTTACATTGACGGGACAAGGTAAATACGGTTTTTATCAAGTTTGACAGTTTGTTTAGAAGCAATAATTTGTCCTTCACTAAATGATCTATTGCTTACTTTTAAACACGTTCTGTTAGCAAACCTGCAAGTTTAAGTGTACTACAAGTATACTTATTTTACAAAAAAAAAAAGAAGTGTACTTGAAGTTTACTTTTTATAAGCTTTATTTGATATACTTAATAGTATTCAAAATGTCCCAATTTAGTCCAAACAAGTATTAGTATACTTTCTAGTACACTACAAGTATGGTGTGTAGTATATTTGATATACTTAACTTAAAGTGTACTTGCAAAAATGAACTTCAAATGTACTACTTTTTGTTGAGGGTGGATTAGCGAAACTGAAGGAACAGAAGAACACAGTCGTTATCAGATTTGCCTCATGTTTCATTTGGCAACAGAAGATTCTCACAGACCGTAAAATAAACTGCAGACCAAGTATTTGCCATAAATAACCGTCTAATCTAAGCGACTGGCAGGTTTGTTTGTTTTTTACAACAGTGTTCCATGAACCGCTATGACGTTTTTAAGATTATAGTAAAACTAATTTGCTTGCTTTAGCTCGTCCTCTGATATTTTAAAACTTACAAGTTTCTGTTGTAGGTAAAATAAGATTTTCTGATGAAAACTTCAAAAAATACCACTTAAAATACACAGATTATCCCTTTAATACATGCTGTGGCGTCCAGCTGAATCCTCACCAGATTCTAGCGTCGTTTAGTTTTACAGTTCATGACGGCCACAGCGTTCTGGGTAAAGCTCGTTTTAGCGACAATAATCCACTCGACTGATGACGTCACACGCACATAAAATGACACTGTACAAGTATCATGTTTGGTACAGCTGTACATCACAGGTTTTATGGTTCCTCTAGTTCACTCGAATGGCTGTTTGTTGATCCGTCGTGACACATTTGTGGTGAATAGTCTTATCGTCCCCTTAAATTGTGTTTTCTGAAAGAGCAACAACGGGATTGAAATGTAGATTTAAAAAAAAAAGTTTAAAAGTCCTCCGAGTCTGTAGCTGCACCTTTGCTTCCAAGATGAAATGTCAGTCATTGCACGTGCTGAACTGCAGACTTCACGTCGGAGACGTCAGACTCCTGCAGCTCTGGATCCTTCAAGGCATCGTCTGTCACAGTCACCAAGTTGGCGTTCGAGCGCATATCCATGGCAGAGTGCATTATGGGTAGCCATATGTCATCCATGTTTGGCATCACAAATATTTTCTGCAGGAAAAGAAACAAGTTTTGTTTAGGTAAGAAGACAAATGTTCAGATACTTAAAATCAGGACGATAATTTTAAATCGTATATTTAAGACGGAACTGAATAAGGAAACGAAAGCTGGTCAAGCCTTTGATGTGAACCAGACGTGTGCTTTATTTATCCTAAAGCCCTCTATTTTAAGATCTCTGTTCACATCGAGTAAACTTTTAGCATCTTGCGTGGTTAGAGCAGTCGTCCTCCAATGAGAGAGTTGGAGGTTTGATTCCACCAGCAGTCACGGGCCGAAGTGTCCCTGGGCAAAACTGAACCCCTCATTGCCTCCAATGTGTGTCCCATCAGTGTATGAATGTGATAAATCACTGATTATTCTTTGTATAGATCTGGTAGAGTGCTGTGTGAATGGTTAAAAGAGGGCACAGATTTTAGTGTAGAGAGCTTTGAGTGTCTTGATAAGATAGGAAGGTGCTATACAAGTACAGTCCTTTTACCATTTAGTCATGCAATTTAAAAAAACAAACAAATAAAAGAGCACCTGGAACTCCTGATCCAACTTCTTCTCGATCCACTCAGTCACATGAACCAGAGTGACCTCCCTTTCACCCAGTTTAGGCCGCGCTTTCAGCTCCAGGTGAGGAGGACTCCGGAAACCATACCTGAAGACGAAGACAACACTTGCAGAATAATTATAACTGCAGACGATGAGTGGAGCCTCTTAATGTTTCGTGTTCTTATGGGACTAGCAGCGTCTTCACATGGCAAGGTTTTTCCTCGTGATTTTTTTTTAAAAGTTCTGTCACATTTTTAAAAGTGCGCAGAGAAAATGGCATGAGGTATTTCTACAAGCCCTGTGATGGACTTGCGACCCGTCCAGGGTGTACCCCGCCCCTCGCACAGTGATTGCTGGACATGGGCACCAGCGACCCCCGTGACCCAAAATGGAATAAACGGGTAAAGAAAATGGATGGATGGATGGTATTTCTACAAAAGCTACATCTTTCTGTACCAGTGTAACAGCAATCAGTGACGTTCATGCACGACAACTCTAAACAAAGCTGATGTGTTTTTATTCCAGCAGCCCATCACTCTTTGTTCTACAGATGTTTTAAGTTTTACTTTACTGTTCACTAAGATTAGTTCCCATAAATTAGGGTTTGCAGTTTAGGACCAGCAGGGGGCGCAGTGTTCAGCTCTCCAGACATTCTTCCTCCACATTTACAGCTCATCTAAATCTTTTTGGTTGGCAGTCTTGAACGTACCATATCCTGTCCGTGGGGGGAGGTGGGATGTTGACAGCCAGCGTCCCTCGGCACTCTTGCACCTCCACGGTGAGCAGCAGGGGTGTGTTGGACACCTCCTCCATCTTCTTCTTAATGAACTCCGTTTCCGTGGCCTTCTGAAAGTACTTGGACTTGGCAATCTTGTCCACGAAGCGCATGATCTTGCTGGGTCTGTGACCTCCTACATAGCTAAGGGAACGGGAGGGGGGGGGGGGGGAGACGACAAGCAATGAGTCAGGTTCATCATTTATTCATAACAGCATCTCTTGCTACTCAGCACTGGCGATGGAGGGGGAGGGAGGTGGAGTGGGTGATGCATTAAGTCAGCAGCAAGCCTTGAAACGTGTGGGGCTGAGTGGGTATGATGGACCTCGAGCAGAAAGTTCTGCTTCAGCACATCAGAGTTAATTTCCTGCTGACCGTTTTCAGTCCAGGTACCGGACGTGATGCAACGAGACGTGCGCTCACCCCTCGGACGCAGGCAGGCTGGGTTTGTCACTGATCAGGTCAGGGGGATCCTCCTCGTCTGACGAGCCAGCACTGGACGACTCCTCGTCACTATCCGCCAGACAGTACGTCCTCGGCCTTGACCTGTCCCCCACATACACAGAAACACCTCACTGTGGACAATCCAGGCCTGGAAAGCTTTGCACGAAACATTACACAACCAGCAGCACTAATTCCTGTTACACCTACTGCTGCTGAAATAAATCACAGGCACTAACACACTGATTTACTCAAAGTGATATCCAGTGATTCAAAACAAAATGTATCGTTTCAGTGCCAGGCAGCATTCAATCACTCACCATTCATCGGACCAATCCATGATTGGAAAAGGATTAGCAGGATGGAGAGGGGCAGAAAAAGCCAACATAAAAAAAGTGCAGGATTGTGAAAACCGACATTTCTGCCAAGTGCCAACTATTTATCAGATATTCCTTTAAACTTTGCTTCAGAAGTCGTTTGAATACGTCGAGGAGGTGAAATTATTTCTCACCATTCTTTTCCGTGTTCCCCAAGTCCCTCGCCTTCCTTCCCCAGACGGGCCAGGTTCAGCTTGGTCTCCAGGGTCATGAGGAAGGAGCCTGTGTAGGACACCTCCAGATCAAACCACAGACCTGAAGGGACAGAAAGAGATGGAAAGTTGTTTGTCTTCTGGCTGTTCCCTTCAGCAGGGGACACTACAAAAATACTGCTACAATATATTTGGCTAGGTTCCCTTATTGATGCAGCCTGGGCTCAAACGTTCAGCCTCAGGATTATGAGTCAGCGGCACTGACCGCTGAGCCACTGTTGCCCAAAAGAGTGAGAGAAGGTACGGCTGAATTATTATTAGCACATAAATCCACACGACCATGATAAATTCTGAACACAACTCTTTTTTTAAATCCTCCGCCTGGTAATTAATTGGTTGGAGGCAGGAAGACGACCTTTCCTCTCGCAAACACAGGAAAGGTCAGCTCTGCTCATCAGCTGATGGACAACTTCCAGTTTACACGCCACACGTACTGGAAGCACATGCTACAGCTCAGTCATCAAAAAGTCCAGATGCATCAAACTGAAACCACTTCATGCTCCTTGAAGCCAAAATACAACAAAACAATGTTACAGATTTTGTGCAACTCATTTCTTACATCAGCTAATCAACTTCAACACAAAAATGGCTCTAACTCAGACATTTGAAGCTAAGACTTGATGTGGTAGTAGCCGAGACTGATCCCCTACTCAGACTACGAGGTCTTTGTTTAAAACTTGGGCATGCAAGACAGCGAGTGATACGAACGTCACTTTCAGTTGCTATTAAGATTTTTTGGCACCGTGTTTAACTTGAAGCTTAAACTAATTTCAAGTTGCAGCACTTTGTTGTTGTTTACGTTTCACACGATGCCCCGAGGCGTCGTTCCTCCACAGCTACTTCTGCGCTGGAATCACCTGACGATTCACAGTATGTGTCGTTGGTCCACATCTGTAGCTGTGCAAGACAGAACATTCACGAGCAGCAGATGGCGGCCATGTATCAGACAACTTTCTTTTTGTAATATTAGCACTGCAGCTGCTTGTCAAGCAAAATCTGAAGAGATCTTTAAATTAAAACTGATCTTTAGCACCGATGTTTATAGAAATTTAAGCCAATCATAAAAAATGTCCACTAATAGTTACATCTCATTTCTTCCCCTTAAGCTACTTCCCCTCCAAACAGCCCACTATAAAGAACTTAACATGTCTTAGATCTTTGAATTGTCTCCGTGAGTTTCCTAGCTGAGGCTCAAGCGTGAGTCAGTGTCTCGTTAATGAGGGGAACAGAGATGTGAAGTGTAATTACTGTGGCTTAATGCTGCAAGCCATGCTGACAAGGCAAGACTGCAGAGGAGACAGGAGGACAGAATCCCAATCCACTCAGGTGGACAGCAAATACCAGAACAATGAGCACATGGTTGGATGGGAATTATAGCAAAACACTGAAATCTGTGAAAAACATGACATTTTTAATGTCATTTCTCCTCCTACCTCGGTGGTCCACCCACGGTTTGGAGGCACGGAGGATCTTAGGAATGGAAAATCCCATATCTAGCTCGGTCAGGGTGAGCTCATTCATCACGTACGGCAGCTGGAACAGACGTCAGAACCAACAGAGTCATTAAATAAGAGCTGTTCTACTAAAAAAAAAAAAAAAGCCTTTCTGATTTGTTGGTTTATACTGGGGGGTTTATTGGAGCAAACTGGTGTCGCTTCTCACCCTGATCTTACTGAGCTTCATTTGGATCTTTTTGGAGACGACGCTGGCCCAGTACTTCTCTCGTAGAAAGTCCCAGAATATCCTTCCCAGAAAAGCATTGACCCAGGCCTCGGGCTCTGCAGTCTCCTCTGAACCCCTGCACAACTGGAGGACATGCACACATCAGTAAACCTAATGGGTTTAGACCAGTTAGTATAACCTTCTGTAACAGGCTTTAATGGTTTTGTTTGTGTTTTTGGAGGGGGCACCTCTTGACCTGTGGTGTTCAAATAGGGTCTGATGTGACTGCATTTTGGGTTTAGCTCTGACACTTCATACAGTCGAGCTCTACCAACACATTTGAGCTCAACGTTCGCCCACATCAGCTGATTGATCTGTCGCTTCCTCTGCATGCAGTCAAAAGTCAATTTATCACAGAGGTCCCATTTAAACTGCTTTAGCCTGCCAACCTTTGCTGCTCCTCTGCTCCCCCCTCTATCCCAGCTGGTTTGTTTTAATGATTTTTCCACATGAGTTTGTACAAGAACTGGTGTCAGACAGACCAAAAACAACTTGGTAAAATTGGGGCTTGCCAGAAATGCAGACTGTGAATGTGGTTACCAAATCCAGAACATGGACCATCTTTAATTTCCCGCACATTTAACATCAGCAGACGTAGGTCAGGTCAACAACTGAGCAAAGACATGGCTGTCTTTCTGGTGTGACGTGATCTGATGATGATGATGATAATGCCCGCTTTTAAGGTTTTATTTTGTACTCTAGTTCTTTTTGAGGGTGCTCCTCCAGTCTTGGGCATCTTAAGATGTCATGTAAAAGGCAAAGATGAGAGACTGGAACATTTGGAGATGTTAAATAGTTTTAATTGTGATAATGATGAAGGTGCGAAAAGTAAAGTTTGGCACAATGTGTCCATAGAGTAACAAAAAAATATTTTAAAATGTTATGCATCATAACTAAAAGAGTTTTAAATATTTTAGATTTAGTTTTTTTTTTTTTTTTAATCATTAGTACCACCAAAAATGTCCTTTTACCAAAAGGTAAATCCGATTCAAGATGGCCACCACAGCACCTTAGCAAACACAAAAATGACTATAACTCTGTCAATTGTAAAAATATTGAGCTGAACCTCTGCGTGGTGGTAGCTGAGAGTCATCCCCAACACATAAACTGAGTGTTAAATTACACACTAACAATATTGTGTGGGACTGCACATATTGTTACTTTCGAGGTTTGACCGAAACAGCTCTGGCCTTTCTAAACATTCAACCTTTATTTATACAGGTTAACCCCATTGAGCCTCGGGGACTCATTTACAAGAGAGACCTGATTTTATCAACATGAGATCTTTGTTTAGAACTCTGGCGTGAAAGGTGGACGGCGATGTGCGTTCTTTCAATGACTGCTAGGCCTTCATTTATAGTACGTGTTGATTATATCAAAACACTTGGGTCTAATGTCGCCATTGACCACGGCGTTCAAAGCCGGCTTTTATCCCAGGAAGACTCGTGCAGACACGAATAACGGCAGAAAAGAATAGTTTTATCATTTAGTTGCTACAGTTTTAAGGCAGGTAAAAGTTACAGATTTGCAGTGCTGTGACTTTGACTCTCCGCGACCAAGAACTGCAAAGGAAGTGACAAACTCAACGGAGAAACTCGGCTTTCTTCAACTCCAGACTCCTCCCCTTAAAGGGCACGGGAATATGGCCTTTTGTGTATCCGTTTTTATTTATGTGTGCCGATAAGGCTTATCTGGTTCAATCTAAGCGTTTTTGGATGTTTGTGTGCAACTGTCCTTGTGTGCATGCAGCAGATAAACAAAACCCTCTCCTAATATGATAAATGGCTTCAGAAGTCTGACTGACTTCCTGTTTTCTCTTTAACATTCTAACATCATCTGAGGACGTATGTAACACTAACAAATCTGTTGCCTTTTTATATGCAGATTTATGCGAGTGGGGTTACCGTGTTCTGCCACCTGTCCGTTTCAGGGTTAACAAAGAGAAGCAGGCATGCGCACCAACACACTTAACTAAATTGCATCTTCGGCGCACGCAAAGAGAAACTGCACAGACACAGGAAGTGCCTTCTCTTTGTGAGGCAACACTGATAATCGCCTTGGTAACCCTGCTGCCGTCCATCAACATCAGTGTGAAGGTCTTCGTTGCAAATGTACAAGCAAACTGCAGGTACCTCATATGTGTAGTTTTTGTTACCATGGTGACAGAATATTTCAGTCAAATAAGTGAATATTTTTTAAAACGAGCCCAGTCCAAATGCATGAAGTCATGTTAGGAGACAGGTCGGTGTAATGACTCTGCAAAAAGTTGTGAACACATCAAAGTCATTAGAACTCAAAAGAAGAAGTCTAACACGACACAGGCAGGTAAACTGCAATAATCTAGTAGCTCCACCTTGTTATGTTACAATATATATATAGGAGATACAAAATGTCCTCTCTTGGTTTGTGGTGCATGTTTTTGAACAAACCAAGTCTGAAGACAAGTCCCATCTAATGCATGTTGGGATTTAATCACAGCACATGGGAGATGGCAACAATGTTTAAGCTCGTTTGCCACATTTAGCTGCTCTTTAACAGAACCAGCACCGAACGTAAACCCGGACATGCTCAGAAACTGTCGTCATTCCTCCCAGAACAACATGACTGACACAGATCTGATCGATGTGAAGCCTTGGAGTGAGAGTGGTCGTCTGTGTCATGTGTCTCTACGTGGCCCAGTGATGGATTACGACCTGCCCAGGATGTACCCCACCTCTCACACAGTGACCGCTGGAATGGTCACCAGCTCCCCTGTGACCTGGGATGAAGAAAATGAATGGATGAAGACTTCATACCTTTTTGGTAGTTTTGGGGCTGCTCTCGGGGCTGTGCTCAGGGCTGTCAGCGCCACTCGGGCTTCTCGGTGCTGCCTGAGGGCTAACGTATTTGGCCATGTAGATGTTATAGTCCAACAGCATCTTCTGCTTCGTCCCTCCAGCAGAACCGCAGGAGAGAGAAGCGGAGGCCTCTCTGTGTCGGAGCTGAGACAGCTCCTCCTGGCTCCCCCTGCTGCTGCTCCTGCTGTCAGCCTCCAGGCCTCCAGCAGACGGGACGCTGCCGCTGCGGCTGTTAGAGGGCAAGAAGGCTGGAAGGTGGGAAAAGCAGGATGTGAAGAAAATCCACAGTTTAATACAAGATGCATGCTTACAATTTTACAAACCATTGCCGTTTTGTTTTTTACATTTTATACGTCTCGATTTCTTTGGAACTGGGGTTGAAGTATCTGCTTTGAATTCTCACAGTGTGCTAAATGTAGTTAGCATAATTGCTGTGTGTGCTTGCTAAGCAGCTTAATATTTAAATCATCTTCACAGTGATCCCGTCCACCTTGTACTGCCGGTTATCAGCGGACCCACACAATGCCAGTGTTTCTTTTAGTATAGAAACTTATCCTCCCAGGCTTATATCCCCCAGCTGAGACCAAAGCTATAACATGCTGCCTCTCCGTGCATGTAATCCTGCTGACCCCTTCACACTCTACCGTTCACTCAGCTGAAGGGATTGGCAGTATAAGCAGAGGCTTAGACACAGATCTGATGGTTGTACACTACTCCAAAGAATATATACTGACTCTGCAAATAAAAAAGTGAGCAGAAGCCGCACATATTCCACAGTTCCCACCTCGAGCTGTGACGGTGTAGAACTCACCACTCTTGCAGATGGTGGCAGACAGGCCGCTACCTCTGCCCTCCGACTTCATTTGGGACGCCTGAAGAAATCTGTGAAACCATTCCTCCTTCTCCCGACCAGTCCTCCCAAACAAATAGATTGTCAGATCCGCTCTTCCACAGGTTGATCGTTTGGGTTCTTCCACCGACGCCGAGCTCTCAGGTCGCTCAGTCCTGTCTGTTCGCTCCACCTTCTCACCCAGCCCTGTTGACTTGTCCTCCCCAGCTTCAGACTTTTCTCCCTGAGCCTTGGACATGAAGTCGTCCTGCTTGGCCAGTTCAATGCAGATGGGATACTTCTTGTTCCACACCCTCTTCCTGGCCAAGCTCTGGGGCATCAGGTAGATCTGTGGAGAAAATAAAGTTTAAAAGATCAGAAACAGAAGAGCTTGATGGTGCTGACAGGAACAGAAGCGAAGAAAACATGAATAGGTTTGTAAATATTTTCATTTTACTCTTACAGAACAGCTTCAACAGTTGGATGCTGGTGGGTTTCCTCACATGATCTTAGAGTTTAATGTCTTATCACATTTTATTATGTCTGATCAGCACTTTGACCCACCTGTCATATAACATTAAATTTATTCTAACATTTTTCAGTCCTGCTTTATGACGTTTTAAAGTTAACCTCGTGACATTGCCCTTTAAAATATGAGGTGCATTTCAGAAATAATCGTCCACTCAATGACAGCAAGTCATTCTAATCCATATACAGCAGTGCAGGCCCAAATCATGATACTACCATCACTATGTTCCATAGATGAGTTAAGACTTTACAAAAAAAATAAAAAATCTGCTTTAACCAATAATATCTATTTTGGATAACTAACTAACTAACTAACTAACTAACTA